ACACGAGGTTATCCCTACGTCTCAACGTTTTCTCGTCTGCATCCTTCTTGCCTTCCAACACACTGGAGAAGTCGAACCACCGCTCAAAGCTATCGAGGTCGTTGAAAACTTCGGGCAGCAAGAAGTGCAGAAGCGACCAAAGCTCCGCGATGTTGTTCTGGAGGGGCGTACCTGTAATCAGAAGTCGATTGGCAGAGTTGTATGTCATCAATTCTTTGATCAATTTGCAATTCATGTTCTTCAAACGATGTCCCTCGTCCACAATGATGTATTTCCATTGATAGTTTGCCAGGAACTTTCGATCATTCATGCAGATCTCGTAGCTGGTGACAACAACGGGGAACTCGTACTTGAATTGATCTTGCATCTTCATGTTCTTCCGCCTCATTACCTCGCGCTCGTCTTTGCTGCCATGGTAGAGAATCGTGTTGATGCTCGGGGTCCAACGTTTGAATTCTTCGACCCAATTTCGGACGGTGCTTAGGGGAGCCGCGATCAAGAAGGGTCCTGAGATATTGTTCTCCTTGAAGAATGCAATCAACGAGATCGCTTGCAACGTCTTCCCAAGCCCCATCTCGTCCGCTAAGATGCCAGAGAGACCATTCATCCAAAGCGATTTCAGCCACTCTAGACCTTCAAGTTGATAGTGCTTCATTTTTCCACCAGTGACCAGAGAGGGTTGCTCGGTCGCGACAAGATCCTGGGTCCCAAGTCCCTGACCTTCATATTCGTCGGCAGCCTCTGCCAGCGCTTCCTGGACTGTTGGTCCCTCTTTCGAAGTCTTAATAGCCTCTGAGTCAAAGTAATCAGTGATGTTCTTCTTCGCAACATTCGTCTTCTTGGCGGCACGTCCCCGACTTCGAGTGGCCTTCTTCTCCTGGCCTTTCTCCTGCCCACCTGCATTGTCCTCATCCTGAGCGTGTGTTCTTGCAGATTTTCTTGTTGGGCCTTTCGATTCAGCAGCCTTGGCAGCTTCATGCCTCTGCTTCGCTGCAGCCCGTCGAGCCTGCTCTTGATTGCGCTTCTGCTCTTGCTTCATCTTGTCTGCCATAATTGCAACGAAGACCGAGCTTGTTTTGAGGAGGTTTGTAAGCGCCCGCGACTTATAGTCCATCGCTTCGGTGTCATATCCGTCCACCTCCATTTTGTTTTCATCTTGCACTTCCTTGTCCCCGTTGGCACCTGCTTTTACTGCGGCAGGGCTACCATTGATCGGTGAAGATGGCGGTGTGCTCTGGCCAGAAGACATGGCTGGTGTTGCAGGTTCCGAAGTTGCAGAACTTGTTGCCATTACTGTCACTGTATTCTGGATCCAAGCATCGAAGGGAGACTCATGCGGAGTTATGCAATCGAGGGCGTCCCGAGTTCGCTCAGCAAACGGTAGCAAGTGTGCGAATCAAACAGAGAATGCTGTCTTTGTGGACGCTACCAACAAGGTCAAGGAAAAGAGACCACAACTGATCTGGAATCTCGAATCGGGGTGCATTCTGGATTCTTTAAGCTGGTCTCGCTAGAACTGACCCCTTGCGAGAAGAATGTGGTGTCGTCACGAAAGCGGGAAGACACGCCCTTTCATTAATATCCACTATACGCGTACGCGTTGGATCGGCGCTAAGATCGTAATTCAGTGCGAAAATACCAGGCACCAGAACGCAATGAATACCAGGGGCATGGCCACTAAAGCTACGAGTATGAGTACGCGCCACGTCTGGCTGTGCTCTGATGGCCCATCCTACGAGCATTACTGAATCAGGAGCAGCTGGAGAACAATTATGCTCCTGTCCAACCAGCCGTGTTGTGGGTATTTCTCCATTGTAGAACAATCTTGCCCCTGAAAGTCATAACACAATCATCAGACCCTGTATAACCAAGCACAAACATCATAACACTCAGCATATACATAATTGATCTCATGCTGCAACCGTTCCCACTGCATTAGCACCTCTTCCACCCATGCGAGTGCGCTGGCGCTCTGGGCGACGTAGCGTGTACCTGTAATTCATGTCAGCGGGATATAGAACTCAAATTCATCGGCCACCTACTTCGCAAACGCTCTGGCAAGCGCCTTCTTGCAACTGAGCTTCTGACTGCCAACAAATGAATCCACAGTCACTGCAATCGCGCGATCAATGTCTTGCGAAGAACAGAAATCAGACAGTCTCATCTTGCAGAATGCTTCTGCAATTCTCATGATTGCTTCGAGATGACGGACCTGCCAAAGCAGTCAGCCAATATTGCACTGCGTTTGCATTCTGATGACTTACCGTAATAGGGTATGCGCCTGTTGCGAGAGATTCTCTTCGCATATCTGCAAATAGCCTGGCCACTTTATCTTGATCGATCTGATAAAGTTTCGGCCGACATTTCTCGCGGGCATACATGATGTACTTGCGCAGCAACTCCTGCGGTATAGCTCCTTCTTGCTGTGGTTCACCATTGTTTATGGTATTCTCCTGATCAGTTCCCATGGCGGCGGTGTCTCCTGCATCGGTCTCGAGTCTTGCGGGATGCGCCCGTCCATGACTATTGACCACAAAGGTGGCAAGACGCTCATCTTCAGCCGGGTCAACGGTATCTCTAACCACGCATAGAATGTCGAAACGAGACAGGATTGGCTCCGTGAGTTCGACATTTTGGCTGAAAGGAATGGTGCTGTTGTATCGCCCTCCGGAGGGATTGGCTGCGGCAACAATGGCACAGCGTGCCTGGAGAGTAGTAACAATGCCAGCCTTGCTGATTGAGATGGTTTGTTGTTCCATGGCCTCGTGGATAGAAGTTCGATCGGCATCGTTCATCTTGTCAAACTCGTCAATCAGGCACGTACCTCGATCAGCAAGGACAAGGGCACCGCCTTCAAGCCCCCATTCTTGTGTGAGCGGGTCCTTGCGAACAGATGCAGTCAGACCTACTGCGGAAGCACCCTGTCCTGTAGCAAAGACCGCTCGATGCGCCGTCTTCTCAATGTACTTCAACACCTGCGACTTGGCCGTACCAGGGTCACCAAGCAGTAGGACATTGATATCACCGCGGATCTTGTGCTTGCCTTGAGCTTCTTTACTAACACCGCCGAAAAGAGACAAAGCAACCGCTGTCTTAATATTCCGATGCCCGTAGATAGAGGGGGCGATTGAATCGACGATTTTGTCCACTATATTGGGATCCTTCGAAAGAGCTCTGATCTGTCGTTCATCCTCTTCTGTCAATTGGAAGCCGGCGAGCTGATCGTGAGTTTTGATAATGTGGTTGGCTTCAAGCATAGTTGCAAACACAGGGAAGCCATTCTTGTTATTGAGCTGACCGCTGTAGTTGTTACGATAAATCGCTGTGACTTCAACCTCTTCACCAGGTTTCGCCTTGTCGATCAAGTCCGCAAGGAGGATGACTTCTCGATGTCGTGGTAAACGGCCCGCTGGTACTGTGCCCGGAGACTCTTGCAAGGTCAGTTTCTGGTAGTTCCGGTAGACGGTCTTCTCGCTGTTCAGAGTGAAAGGTCCTCGAGATTGACAGTTCTGGCAGAATGTCAATTTGACTTCGGTTGATGTCGATTCCTGCGCAAATGGTCCGAGGGTAACGCCACACTTCTGGCATGTGAATTTAACCATCTGAAGTTGTGGGAAAACACCAGTTCGTCTAGTGACGACTCCAGAAACCCGGACAAGACAATTGAGATGCGATTGCCGCAGTTGACGTAATGTATATTGAACCGGCAAATCTGAGATTCGGACATGAATTTCTGGGTGAATCAGTTCGTAGTTTGGATAATGCAGCCGGACCACCTCGAAAGCGGCTTTGTCGAAGATCTTGAGCATCTCCGACGGAGCATTCGCAAGAAAGTACGCTAGGATAGCTTTCGTGGAAGCCAAGTGATCGTAGGAGACTTCAAGAGACTCTGAGTTAACCTCTCCCAAGGTACGGATGCGAGTGCCGTAGACTGATGTGCCATTCGCGTCAATATACTCCGTAAGGAACGACTTGAACTCGCGAGCAATAGTTTTCATGACCGAGGGCAGAGTGACCCATTCAGTAATGTTCGATGCTTTGACATCCTGCAATGTCTCCAAGGAAAGTTCTTCTTCCAGAATATTCTCATCAAGATCCATGTCGTCCTGATCCTCGTCATAGTGATGGCGGCGTCTCCGAGGTTGCTTGGTTAGGTCAATCCCGGCATCTTCATCGTCGTCTGGCATGAATGCTGCGGGCATGCGACGCCTTCGAGCCAGCTCACGGTCGCGTTTGTTGAGTCGTGCTTCCAATTGACGCCGGGAAGCTAGGTCCAGCTCGTCGTATTCACCTTCATCGTCGATCATTCGACCTTGATATGTCTCTTGGTCGCGGCGTTCACGCTCATCATTCATAAAGTTGTCTCCGAACAAGTCAATTCCGTCTTCATCTTCGGCCATCTCATCAGCATCATCAATGTCACCAATGAGGTCGTCCTGCGCTTGCAAGTCATCGTCCCCCAGGTCATCATTCTCGTTCGTAGGGAGCAGAGGGGGAGAAGAAGGGAGGGCTGAGGAAGTTAGCATCTTTGCTGTGGCCGAGAGAGGATGTTCAACTTGCCAGCTGGTGACGAAGACATGATCTCGTCGTCTTCATCGCGAGCCCTCTTCCGTCTGCTGACGTTACTGGGGCCTCTGTTTGCCGCGGACATGCTCGGTCGAAGCGGTGAACTTGGAGAAGTTAGTGTCCTCAATGAATTGGGATTAAGGAGTTAGATAATATCAGGTGTCATACCTCATTTTTCCACGACTCGATACGTAGGTGAGCCTTTGGAGTCTAATACCTCGTACGTAAGGGGGTGAATTGAGTAGGGGAGTGTCGCAGTTATTAAACCACTTTACGCGCGAAGACGCGTCACGAGGAGACACGCTAAAATTCTGGGAAGCGGGGAATTGAGGTCATCTCAAGTTTGGTCCTTCGCGCAATGTTTGCAGGTTTCTGCATCGATAGACACTCACTTACCTCGCTCTTCTTCTGTCCGGTCTTCGCAGCCCACGGAAATGGAGGCCGTACCCGGAAAGGAAGAAGTTAAGCAATTTCCAGACTCGCAGACCGCTTCTGAGTGAGAATCCCCGTCTAAATACTCTGCTCTCCTCGATATTGACCATTCTAGTTTCATCGATCAACAGTTAGCCCTCGAGGCTGATGCGCGAGAGGTGCTTCCATATGTAAAGTCTCGCCCCTCTGCTCATTATATCAAGTCGCTAATATCTCTGGTAGAAATTCGACAAGTGTACCAACATTCTCGGGCCCTTGCGACAGAATGTCTTTGCCTGCTTAACATGCAGCCCGCCGCCAGCCTCCGCGGCGCAAGTTTATACGCCTGCAGGCGTCTGCTATGCCTGCTCCATTTCTTGCCACGGCGAACACACTCTGGTCGAATTGTTCTCCCGCCGCGATTTTGTCTGCGACTGTGGCACCAGCCGATTGCCGTCGACTTCGCCTTGTACTTTGCGAACCGATCCAGTGACGGGAAATCGAGGGGTTCAGTCGCAGGAACCACACAAGGGAAATCATTATAATCACAACTTTCAGAATCGATTTTGCGCGTGTGGCGAGGAATACGATGCGGAGACGGAGAAGGGGACGATGTTCCAATGTTTGGGATTAGGGACGGTTGATACTGGCGGCTGCGGAGAGGATTGGTATCATCCAGAATGCCTGATGGGCTTGTCGAGAGATTGGTACAAGTCCGTCGATACGAAGCAAGAGCTGGAGGAGGAAGTACAGAAGAAGGATGAAAAGACAGCAGATCAAGAGGTGGAAGATCCCAGCCATCCAGTCCCGCCGGGTTTCCCAGACGAAGATGACTTTGATACCATGATATGCTACAAGTGCGTGGAGTCCAACCCCTGGATCAAGAATTACGCCGGTACACCGGGCTTCTTGCCAGCTGTGTTCAAAAGGGACGGCCAGTCGGCCACAGTGAAAGATGTTTCAGAATTGATCGCACGATCGACCGCCACACTACCTTCGACTGCTCCCGTTTCCCTCAAGCGCAAAGCCTCCGACGGCGCTATAGAAACCGGACCACCAAGCCCTTCGAAGCGCGTTAGGAACGACAACGAAACCAGTCCACCACTATCGATTCCAAACACCTCCATCGAGACACTTGACAAAGCTAACAACGACACAATCATCATCCCTCCTAGGCATCCCTCAAACACCGCAACCGATACGAAACCCAAACATAAACACGACAACCTCCCCAACCCCTCCCCAACAGGGACCTTGTCCCTCTTCTTGCGCGCAGATTTCCGCGACCACCTCTGCCACTGCCCGCAGTGCTATCTCCACCTGATCCCGCACCCGCAACTCCTGGAAGAGGAAGAAACGTACGAACCATCGCTATCCTCGGGTGCTTCCTCACACCACGGCGGCGGAGCGCACTCACGATCCTCGCGCGCCTCCCTCCTGGAACGAGGCGAAGCCGCTCTCTCCACCATGGACCGGGTGCGCGCAATCGAAGGCGTCATGGTCTACAACCACCTGCGCGACAAGGTCAAGGAGTTCCTCAAGCCGTATGCCGAGAGCGGCAAGGCCGTCAGCGCTGAGGACATCAAGGCGTACTTTGAGAAGTTGAGAGGTGACGAGTCTGCTATCAAGGAAGCCAAGGAGAGGGAGGGCAGGACGAACAGTGAGGACGGAGGGAATGGAGATGGCGGCGGCGGCGATAGGGATACCAGGAGAGAACAGTCTGGGTATTGAAAAGGGAAGATTTCCCGGGTCATTTCACATGGTGAAGGAACATGCTACGGTTGCTAACGGCCGCGAGAGAATCTGGAGCTGGAGAACCCAACAACCCTCATGTAACTCAAAAACACACAAGGCGCGCCCGCGCCCGCGATCGCAATATTGCAAATGATCAGCGAAGGAGGGAAGAACAAAAAAGTCTATTCTGTTCTGGAAAGCACTTTTACATTAATGTCTGCATGTTCGCAGAGCGGTCGCTACCACTCTGAATACATCCAGACAGCTGTCTGTCTAGCCTTGGAGCTCTTGTAGTTATGAAGTTGGTGCATTAAGGTTCCCTTGACTCGTGTTCGATGCATGTTTTTGTTCCCCAGCGCCTCTGCCGCTGCCGCCTCAAATACATCTAACAAGCCGACGATGATGGGTCTGGCCTGGGAGCTCTTGAAGTCGTCAAGAATTGGTGCATTATCGAGCGATTCTTTGCACTCTTGTTCCATCCATGTTTGTTCCCAGCGCTCCTTGTGGGCTTTTCCATGTTGATATCAATGCTTCGTACAGTTCTACCACTTGATTTCCGCCTCAGGACTTCCCAGCACGCCTTTTGGTCGTTCTTCACTCTTGATATCAGTACTTCGCACAGTTCCACCACTCTTGATTTTCTTTCAGGACCAGTCTCGCTCGGTTGAATAGGAAAAAAAAACAAGTTGAATTGCTCGGATCTCGAGTAAGATAGAATATGCTGGATAATGTTTGGCCGTTGGTCATCTACTCTGACAGCTCACAATTGTCGCTCGGAAAGGACGATCAATACAACGGTTTCCGACTAAGCTCGTTTGGCCCGTGATTGTTTCTGAACTTGTTTCAGGCTTTTTTGACAATTTCTGCATTCGCCTTCTCTGCAGCAAGCCTCGCTTGCCTCTCCCGCGTCTTCTTATATGGGCCTCTGGGTCCTCTCTGGCCGCCGGGTTTCTTTTTATTGAGAGTCTTGTCTTGCGTCGTCTCTTTCTCAGTAGTCGACATGTCGGTTTGTCCACTTGTTGTCGTACTGGAAGATGCCTTCATTTCTCGGTTCGCTCGAGCACCCGTTGGAAGCATCGGTTGGTGCTGACCAAGCTCAGAAGTCTGTCCAGATGGTCGCCCTCGGGTCACATCATTCCCCACTGCGTGAGAATTGTCTTGGGTTTGCTCCGAAGGCAAACAAGGATCGGCGCTGCGGCTTGTAGAAGGCTCTTCACTTTGTTCCTTGCAGTTCAGCTTGATTTTTAGTCTCTTGGAGTTATTTGTGACATGATTTTCCAACTTTATTTTGTTTTCTCCATCATGGCCACTAGGCTGAGGCGTGGATAGCTCCAGAGGAGATTGAAAGTCAAAAGTCAACGACGAATTTAGGGTAAGAGCCAGGTCTGGTTGCAAAGAAAGGTTATCCTCTTGCCCAGGCACCTTGACACGCATTCTACGCGTCATTGGTCCTCGGAGCCGGGCCTGAAACTCTTCCGAGTTTTCGTTCTCAGATATCGGAGAATATGATGGCGACAACGGAGATCTTGGATCCATGGTGTCTAGGAGCGCAGTGTTCTCGAACATCCTAGCCAATGTATCTGCCGGCTCAATACTTGGGATTACGTGGTTGGATTCAGTGGGACTGTTAGTCTCTCTTGAAAGAGACACATCTGCGGCGGAAAGCTCACAAGATCGTTTGGCTTCACCATGAAGACGGTCGATTCCACCGCCGTGTCCTTGCAAAATAGCTTTGGAAGGAGTCACAGGTGCCACATTGATTAGCACTCGTTGAACCTTGCTAGGATCTGGGCGAATATCTGATCGAGAAGCCTTTCGCTTTGTGTTGCTAGTCTCCAGTGAAGCCTGAGGAAAGGTTGCAGCCCCAGGAAAAGTGACCTCGGCCGTGCCATCAGGCAGCAGTCGTTCCACATCCGTCACCATTGGGTTTCCACTGAAGCCAAACATATCGGTCTCGAATAACAAGCACATGAGCGGTGAATGCCCACAAGATGGCGGAGTCCCATTCAGAGACACTTCTGTAGTGTCTGCAGAGTTTGGAAGGTAATTCTCTTTCGCCCCGTCCATGGGCTTTGGTTTCTTTCTCGAAATTTTGGCCAAGCCGTCCTTGTTCTGGATCTTGAGAACTAGGCGGTGAGGATTTGGTGCCATCTCAGCAGTCGAAGGATCGGCTGAAAATGCGACGAGGCCTTGACTAAGGCCTTCGCTTTCTGAATCCCGCGACTGTTCTCCGTACTCGAGAAGTACCATGACCAAGGACTTACTGGGGCTACTGCCTCTAGCACGCGGGCCAAAAGCAGCCGTCAAGTCATCTGGCGGCTCGAATTGTAGACATTGGTCTTGTCCCGAAGCGCTATTGTTGAAGGTTGATATGATTGCATGAGAATCGGGTGGGGGCACGTCTGCTCCGATTTCTTGGTCGACTTCTCGCGCATCGGACCACAGATCTCCCGCCGGGCTCGATAATTCAGCAAACTTTGTAACGGTAGCCAGGGAATGAGGTGCAGTTCTCGCGACCAAACTCGGATCCAAATTGATTGATTTGCGCTCTGTCGTTAGGGGATGCTCAATCGAATGGATCGAACTGGCCGCTGTCAAGAGAACGGTGCTGCTCTCCCCGCTTGTCTTCTGCCTAGACAGATCGTGTCTGGACCTCGGGCGCCCCGGACTGCGCTGTACCTTATGATTCTGGTCGGCCTCTGAGAAGGACGAATATCCTGAATCGGTATGGATATCGAGATTACTGTTCGACAAATTCGCTTTACCCGTTGTACCTGGGACATATTTGAAGAATCCATCAAACTGCCCATCTAACGGATCTGGCAGCCACGTTCCAAGCAAATCTGTCGCAATGCCACGACTTGACAAGAAATCTTCTGCAAGACGAACCTCAGACTCGAACGCTACCTCGTAGTTGCTTGCAAAGACCATGTAGTGAACATATTCATTGAATATGTCCGGGTCGATGTAGGAGGACGGTTGAGGACATCCCGAAGTTTCAACGCTAGCTTTGGAACAGAAATCCCATATCTCTGCGATCGATGCTGGATGCAAAACCCGCAGGCCCACTGCTTCCTCAATCTTGGTTGCTTCATGCTCCGTCAGTCCCAGAATCCTGGGCACTGACGTCGAGGGATGCTCAGCTGCTAGGGCTCTGTATATGTGATGTTGAAGAGAGAGTGGAAGAAGACCCCACGCGACATTTTGTTCCGGCTGAAAAGCATTAGTCGCTGTCATCTTTCGATAATAGAAATAGATTTACGTACCTCTGAGCTCGTGCTTGGGGTTGCTGTGGCAATTGTCCCATCTGGAACTGATTCCACGAGTGATGTCTTATCTTGCTGCATTGTGATAGGTACACTTAATTGGCGCTGTGCTTGGAGAATGTCTCCTCCATCTGTATTGCCGCCAACGAAGCTGATACCCAGACCCTTATTTGAAAGTGAACTCAAGATTTCAGTGTTTCTCACCAACTCTTCAGATTCCTCTGTATTTCGCGCAGCAGGCGTATTGCCAGACGTCAGCCGCAGGGAAGGAAACGCTGCTGGAGGGTTGTTTGGATTGAAGGGGACAACCTGGGCTTTGAGTAACATTGCAGAAGTTGGCTTTGTTCTATTACGATTTTGAGATGCGGCGTGGACTTCATCTTCGAAGCGAGTGGGCACCGTGATACTTTTTCTCAGCTGCATAGCTGCATATCAATACGTTCCGTAAAGTATAGGAGAGAGATCGACAAGGGGGGGGAGCACGTGAGCAATCTGAGAACGGCAAAAGAGTGTGGTGGTGATGGCACGTGAGTGAAAGGAATGGTAGCTACCCAAGACATGAGAGACAGAAGACAAAAGCGGCTTGAACGGTTAAGGGATAAGTGGAACCGTTGTACCAGACCCTGTGTGAATATGTGAAGAGCTGGAGTGACGCGATTGACAGTGGAACGCTTGTCTGTAAGGGAGGCGCCTTCAAATCAGTTCCTTCTCACCCAAAGCTTCAGGATAGGAGGGCGCCACCTACCAGTTCACAAGAAGAAAGCCCTGACAGTGAATTGCCCGTTTGGCGCAGTGACCTCCTTGGTGGCAACCTCCATATTCATATGTTAATGTTCCATTTCTCAAAGGTCCCATACAGTGAAGTTCCTGCATCGGAATATTGTGTCTCTCGTGCACCGCTCTTCACGCAGGCTAAATCTTGCTCGCCAGGTGGTGATAGAGAAAAACGTGGCAACTTCACGTTGTGGTTGGAGAGGCCCCATGAAGGTCCGTGGAAGAGGAGTATTGCCAGGCAAGGCACTCGATTCGGTTGATGACATAGTCAGCTCGACGACCATCGTTGGAGAATGCAGCGTTTTGCCCGGCTAAAGTGGCGAGGTTCAGGCTTGCATCCAGTCCCATGTCCGAGCAGGAGTCTTGATTTTGCCTTGTATTGTTTCGGCCCACGATCATGGTCAATCGAAGGCGTCTACAAATGGGGCAACGCCTTCACGAACATGAGGACCACACAAACACTCGGCAGCGCACTCCATGTCTTCGTCAGAATCGTAGAAATCATCCAAACTTCGCTTGCCGAGTGTTTTGGGTTGAGACACAGCGTTGCTGCCATGGTTGGAAGGGGCAACACTTGAAGCGGAGACCTGACGTTCCGCTCGGGTAATGGCTTGTAAATCGAGAAGGACGTTCTTCGATTCGTCCGATAAACTGATACAGAAGCGCTGCGACTGGATAATGTGAATGGCGACAATCGCGTCGACTCCATACACAATCATCAAGTATGCCGCTACCAGTAACGGGGATCGGTCATTTCCGGACTCACAGAAGACGAGGACTTTGCCACTGACGTCGTTAATGTCTTGGGCGGGGGTTCTGACACATGAAGACTCGAGATGGTCATTGATCGCTCGAACAATTGACTTGACGAGTGGGATGAAATCGTTTGGCTGCTCAAAGTCCAAAGTCAAGGTGGCTCTTCCCGCGCTCGAAGGAAATTTGGCCGGATCGAGGAACGTCGGCCGCGCCAACAAGGATCTGGTAGAGCGGACGGCAACAAGGAGGGTGATGCCTGCCTCCTTGACAAAGTCAGGGTCCTTGGCAGCGCTGCTCGGCCCCAGCAGCAGGAATGGGAGGATGTACTGGGCACTTCTGCGCATCTCGTATTGCCATACGAGCATCGAGTGGGTCAAATCCAGCTTGTGGCTGGTGACCAGCGCGGCTAGGAAATCTGGATTACCATACTGTGTGGAGATTTGGGTAAACGGAACAACACGGACTTTGAAAGAGGGCTTCCCGTCGTGGTACTCGAGGTTGGGTGGAGGCACATAGACCTTGGGAGCATCCAGCTGTCGTTTGTCACTGTAGCCTTGTGCTGCAATGTAGACGCCCGGGTTGAGCAGCCAGGAGACGTCTGGCCTAGCCTCGGTGTTGGAGAACATGCCAGGATGAAGACACTGGGGAAGCGTTGTGACGGCTTTTGACTGGAGGCGAACCAGACAGAGATGGCAGGCTCGGGATTGTCTGTGGTCGATGGCGTAGTTTGATGGTGTTGCGGAATGCCCGAGTGAAGAGTGCGGTGGCACTCAGAAGGTTGCTCCAACAGGTCGATGGGTAGTCTTCATTCCTGCCATAGTCGGGAGATGTGTTTGACTAGTCCCAGTGAGGCTGCGGACTACGCGTACCAGGTACGTAGTGAAGTGGTTTGGAAAGAGCACGCCGGTCTTGAGATAGTCCTTGTGGTGATCACTGAATTTGCATGGGACGACAGGTTCTGGCCATCTCGATTAGTTTTACGGAGAAGGGTAACAACAGGTCAAAAATCTGTGGTAACGCAGCCAAAGAGCAATGTAGAAGATATTGCACGAAGAACGGGTACATAGGATGCAGGCAGTGGTAACATGGAGGAAGGTTGATGGTTTGATGTCACTCATTCTGAGGAGAATATCGAGAGAAGCAAAGCCGAGGATCAAGCGGGAGTCACGACAAGTACCCAGCTGGCCCAGCCGGCCCAGACGGCCCAGACAACCACCACTTGCCACCACTTGTTATGTACCACCACCACCACTCCTATCATGACTTTCACGCCAATTCAGGTTGCCCATCTCCTTTTTGTCAACACGCTCATTTCTTGTGTAAACAGAGTTGAATCAATTGTCAAACTTGGGTATCCCCTCGCCCCCTTTTGTTGGGAGTGGTAGTGTACAGTAAGGCAGCGCAACATGGGGACTTTTGCTACTGGGTCTATCTTCTTCATCATCTCATAATCCATCCCGCGATCAGTGTACCCCTTCCTCCCTGGTCATTGGCCTTTTCTCTTGGGCCTGGAGCTTCCAGCATCTTTCCTAGGCTGCGATAGCGCCTGCTTTTCATGCTGTTGTTGGTCCCGCTTGAACTGTCTTTGTATTTGCCATATTGCCCTCTCCACTTCTCCACTCAGCTCTGGAACACCTGTGATTTTGGCCACCAGATTGTGGCTGTCTGCTGGGAGGATTATCTGCTCGGGTGGTGCACTGCCGTCTAGGACTTGACTTCGCGTGATAAACGTAAAATCCGGTGCATCAGGCGCCACCTGCTCATATAGGTCCTCAATCTCTGGAGGCGAAATTGGCCGGAAAAGTCGGTTATCCACAATAAAATCCAAGTGATCTGAGCCTTTCAAAGCTGGTGGCCTGTCAGCGAGATGTGGACTTGCCCAGGGACGTTGGACATACCTCTCCAATGGGACCAACACCTATATGCAGCATAAAAAAAGGGAAAATTGGGTATTCTGGAACATGTCAGCCATGTTGATGCGCCTGTAAAGGGAGGAGGGCAGGGGAAGACTATACACAGGCACCAGAGCAAATGGTATGCAGATTGGCATGGCGACCATGCTTCCGATAAAACGATTCCAATGCAGTTGCTTTCTCTCCCTTGCCAGTCTTGCCAGAACTTTCGGAACATCGTCTTTATGCATGACGTTACCAGGGTAGATCACATCGAATTTCTTGCCCTGCGCAATCTGCTCGGCCTGCAGTTTGGGATTGGAAGGCGGAAAACTCTTTAAGCCCCATTCCTGGTAGGGTATGCGCTGCAGACCTTGATTTCCGTAGTACACAACTGTTTTCCTCCATCCTCTGTCTGCGGCTTCCCACTTGGCCCATGTCTCAGCAGCCTTCGCGGTCAATCGATCGACGATGGTGGGGTTGGTCTTCGGCTTCTGGACTCCGCGTTGACAGAAGACGAGGGCTTGTCGCGTGGTGAGAGGCAGGAGGAAGATTCGCATAGCCGCGGCGACTGCCGACAGAGGCGTAAGGAAACAGAGACAGCGACCGTGCTGCGCCGTTCAGGGAAATTCTGATGAAATCATGGCCAGGGTGACATTCGGCAAGTAGGAATCAAAGAAAGACGCCCAGAAGCTCTGAAGAAGAGAACGAAAAAGCAATATTCTCCCGCGTCCACAATGCTAATGATCGAATAGGTGTGCACGGCGAATAGAAGCTGCAATGTGGCCTTTGGTGCAGGTGTCGGGGTGTGTACATTAAACCGACTATTTTCGAAAACAAGTCATCCATGAAGTAGTCCACGGTGCAGATGGTGGTTTTCATTGCTTTGGGAGTTTGGTCTGCAACGTCATGGCGGAATCTCATGCATTGATTCGCCCCAAAGCTCCCCTGGACTTCCTTAATATGCATAGTGACTCTGGGCACCACCTATATAGGTAGGTACTGCTTGGTAATTACCGGGTATTACTACCTAGGCACTGTCGGGCGAGCCTGCCATCTGCGGCAACCGACAGCCCCCATTCGCCAGAGTGGGCACCTCGTGGGCTAGTGAGGCTGACACCAAAGTTCCCGCAGTGATGAATGATCGATCGACTAAAACAGCTACTTTGTGCTACCAAGGCAGGTTATACTCCCCATATGGCACATGGCCCAGCATTTTCTAGTGCATCTCTCCCTGTTTACACGTCTTTGACCATTCTCTTTTTCATGCCGCCGGAGCCACTAGAAGAAGATAGCTCTTGATGCGGCATTGACGCGGCCACTGTGAGGATCACACAGAGATTTCGGGCGGACGAATGCTCTCGACATGCCCTTCCGAACACGCCGCAGTTGAACCTCTCTTCGCTTCGGAGTACCCAAATTTCTGGGCCTTCTCAGATCTCTAGCCGACCAGCAACATGGCGGCTGAAGCTGGCTTTCCGTGGCAGACGCCATCAAGAGATCCTGAAAAGACCTCAATGGTAATGCCAGAGCGCAGCAATGTTCCACCGTCGCGTTCAACCAAGCAAGAGGGAGAACCAACACCCCCAACCAAGACGGCCGCCTTGCATCCGCAATCCCAGCCTCGCAAACACATCCACCAGCAAGGGAAGCATCAGCATGCTACAGCCAAAGGTCCTCCGCGAGTCAGTCTACCAACTGCGCGCAACACTCCCTCAGAACCTGTCAGACCTAAACCTACATCTCCCCTCCCGGTCCGAACCATTCCACGTAGGTTACGCACTTAGTCCGCCGGAGCCAGGTCACCATGGCTAACGCATTTGAATAGCATGGGTAAGAGATGCGGAAGAAGATGATTTGAGCGACCCTCAGTTCCAGAGCCTGGACACTCCGCACGCAGCGTTGGTCGCGCAGCATCACCACAGCGCGTCAACAGCAAGGCGGACCCTTATATCCAGCAGGCAGTCTCACGAGGAGGGCTACTCTACACCTTCGGGCCAA